ATGACACAGATGTTAATTACCTGGCAAAAGCTAATGTTCTCATAAGGCCGTGCTTGTGCAAGCAGTTCAGCTTTGGATTCTCTCTTTTCGCCGTGAACGATCAGCAATGGCTTCTTCCTTAAACACAAGGAGATTACCATTAAAACATCAAGTGAATTAGCAATCAGCCTAAACCATTTCTTTATATAGCTATGACTTCTGGCCCCTACGTTGAATAACCCAGCAGAAAGACGGCACTGAAATTGCTATACCTTGTTAACTAAAAATAGCAGTAACTACAATAGAACATCTAAGAAAATGACACTAGAAAATTCTAATGGAAAAAAAAAAAAAGAAAATAGGAAGCATGGAATAAAGCAGATGCCAAAACAGAAACTATTAACACAAGATCTTGAAGGGAATTCTTTTCCCTATAACTGGAAACAGAAAAATGAAAGTTCTCAAAAGCACGGATATATACAGTGAGTAACTATGACAACGCAGTAACTGTTGTCTTACAGACAAGATGGGAAGAATAATAGGGAAAAGGAGAGGGCAAGGTCTATTCTGGCAGTAGTTCGGTATTCACTCCCTAGAACTCAACTTCCAATCCTGCCAACTGGATCCAATCCATAGGGATGTGTGTTGCCTCCCTGGGGCCCAGTTAAGACATCACCAGAGAGTTTCCCAGCCTGGTATGGCCCACTGATTATCACCCACTACTGATTTTCCAGCTGCATACTGACGACAGTTTTCTGACATAGGTAGTTGAGGATCCCACAAGGAATAAGGTGCTGCTTGACCCCACTGTGGTCCCTTCCAGCATTACACATTCTGTGAACTCTGGTTCTACTGCATTTCCAGCAAAATAAAAAAAAAAAGTATAGAAAAATGCACACTGTACACTCACTTCATCTGCAGGAGGTTGCAACTACTAGAAAGGAATTTCAAGCAAACAAGAACTGTTTTCATGACAATATCCATTAACTCACTATATCATAACCACACCATCATCCTGATACTTTTCATGTCATTTTCTTGCATCCTTCCTACATTCTTTCCTTTCTCCTGCACTATCTGGCTGTTGACTCAGTAAACTCTACAGTAAAAAGTTTCTAGCTCCATCTATATAGGTCATCTACTGCACTGCCACTGTGGCCCACAATGGAACCTCCTAAATGTTAACTAATAAAAATCAGAAACCCGCTATAGTGAACTCTGACCATTTAACAGTCTTGAAAAAAGCCAAGAAATCCACTACAACTGTGGAATAAAAGTAGAAAGAAAACCAAGAGTCTATGCATATGCAATTGGTAATAATAGTCTGCAACGGCAAACAAGTGCTTGTCATTCACTTACAACAGGAACTTGTATGAACAGAATGATCTGGGAACTATATCACTTCATCTTCATAAAATAAACATACCTGAATTCCTGTGGATACTGTCTTACAAGCCATCCCACATCTATACAGTAGTTAAACTTGCACATGAGAAAAAGAAAAGACTCATTAAAAAGTAGTTTGTTAGAACAATGAACTAAAGCAAAAAACCTTCTTACGTAAAGTCAGCATGCAATACTGCTTACATCATATACAGCATGTTCTAAAAACAGGTGTGTTTTTTTTACTTTCACATGCTTTCTTTCATTTCTCTTGACAATTTAAGAGTGAATTTAAGTTTCTCAAAAGCATGTATTAGTGGTGTTAAAGTTTAACAAGCAGGAAAAAAGAATCTAGGCATGTAACGTAAAAGCTTTGGTTCAAGGATCATCTCTTTGCCATGCGCTTATGCCATGAACGATGGCAAAAGCTTCCGGACAATAACAAAAATATCATTCTTAGATTGCAAGGCAGTTTTTTTCTTCCTCAAAAACAGGAAAGTAGTCCTACAATTGCCTAAATTCTAAAGCAGAACATGAGATGATTTTTATGTTTCAAGAAACTCTTGAACAGTCGAAAACATTTAGAATTCCCTCTGTACTTTAACAAAGTTCCCTGTTAATGTCAGCTACATGGCATAAGCATGGATTATCAAGTTTTTAAGGTTGATTAAGTGAAACAAGCAAGTCTAATCAGTTTGGCAATCAGGAAACTTACCTGGGCAGAAGATATGAGAGTCCCAAAAAGAGGAGACAAAATATCTATTAAAAAATATTAAAGTATAATTAAATTAGAAAAAATAATTGTTAAAGTAAATATTTTGCATCTTGAACAGCTTGATAACTACCATAGCACAAGGGCCAGATTGTTAAAAGACTTGGTGTAACACAGGCATTCACAAGTGAGATTACTTATCTGAGTATCCAAGTCACTGGTTCTCCAGTTAGTTGCTTAGGGTCATATGCTTATAAAAAGCATTAATACTCTTACAGCAGAAAACAAGTTTTTAAAATTGATTAGGAGAAAGTCCAGGAACATACTGAGAAAGGGACAAACTACTCTCTCCCCTACAGAATGGGCTAAAGAACTGTGGCAAGGTAGCAGCAATAAGGGCACAATTAATGCCTATTTGTCTGTTGCAGACTGATTATAGGCTATGTGTGTCCATAGTTCCTTCACAATAACACAGGAAACTAATCCAACTGAGGATTTATAACCTCAACAACTGAAGCACAGCACCAACTTGAAAACATATCCTATAAATACTTTCCAGAATGGGCAAAATATTTCATGCCCTAGCTCAACAGAAATCTGGTTTTGCAGGTCAAACAAAAAATACTGCCTACCACCTCAACTAATCACCTCGCAGAACTCCTAGGAGAGGACAAGCCAAAAGCCACAATAAATTCATAAAGCACATAAAAACCTATAGTAGTAAAGTAACTTTGCTCTCTGATACCAGCTTGCTTCAATAATCAGTGCTCATATGGAGCACATGAGTTGAGGAAAAGTTACAACCTAATTTTACAGGTCTTCAGTGATTTCTTCTTCTTCAAAGAGCTACATTTTTTTCTGTCCCATTTTATTGTATTTCTGTGCACAACTCTCTTATTAATGCTTGCTTCTGATTCTGCCTTGTGATGCACGAGATTTCATTTCTGAATAAGGGGATGCTTCCAGGTGCACAAGGCTCTTCCCCCCCCCTCCATCAAACTACAACTACAGAGCAATCCTGAAGCATCAGTATTGTAACACCTGACACCTTGCTCCCTCTTGACTTATGCTCACTCCCAACTGAATTTAAACGGACCCACAAATCCCAGACATAGATGTCCAGAACTACTGCATCAAGTAATAGCAAATTACTAGATCCAAACCCCTCAGCAGCACGAAGGCAAGTGCAAACAACTACTCAGGGAGTTAGGCATCCAAGAGAAGCATCCCTATAATTGCCATGAAGAGAAGAGGTTTTCCCCACATTAACTCACAGGGAAAGCAGCAATAAGAAGCACATATGAATTACCTTGGCTAAATACACATTGGATTTGTGCAGCATAACTCAGAAGTTACAACCACATATAAGCAAACAATGCTTTATACACTATACTTCTAGAAGAGAAAGATCCAGATAGCAGAACCAATTCCCATAAACCTGCACATTTATAATATGAAACTTCAGCTACACTAAAAAATCATGCATTTAAAAATACCCACAAACTAAAAACAAGCATGCTCTTACTTTCTCCCAAAAGCCCACTTCCGTACAAGCCACTTATTCACCTTTTATGTGCAGGGCTCCAGAATTATAGCTCTGTTCAATTCCACTGACTTTAGTGAGAAAAAACCTGAAGGGATTCCCTCCATTCAGCAAATCCCAGGTATCTTGGGCTTCACTGGGTATTTCATTATGTTCCTCTGCTTTCAGATTCTCTAAGAGTTTGTCATCTTTGCAAAGATTCAGAGGCTGCTCTTTAGGCGCATCATATTTTTCTTCTTTCACCGTTTCTTTGGGGGCGTGCTTTTGCTGACCTTCAGGCTCTTCATCACTACTAGAAAGACACCAACCTAAGCCTTCCTGGCTAGTTCTCTGTTTTACTGCTGGAGGTATTTCTGTGGAAACACTTTCATCAGTGAATTTCAGGGGAGAAGCTTTTCTCTTGTGAGCAGCTTTCCTAGCTTCAGAGCACGGATACTGCGGTTCGCTTGTTCTACCACGTGCAGCATCCGATAGGGAAGACGTAGATGGTTTTTCACTATCAGAATTTTCCTCTGCACTTTCGTCACTGCTGGATATCGTCCATTTACCATGTGCGCCTTCGTGAAGCATGTTTCTATGGATTAGAAAACAAAACACTAAACAAAAATAGGGCATTTTTGCTATGCTCAAGTCAGTTTCCCTTCCTGGCTCCCACTTGTTTATTACTAAGGAAGCGTGCTTATGTATTTAGTAGAACCTCCGTGCAACTTCTGACTGGAGAAAATGTCACAGTGTATAAGGCTTACTTGTTTCTGTTCCCAGGAAACAAAGAAACACGTGCAACGGGAGCAACCATGAAATGGGACGCAGCTAACGTGAAAAATCTCCACGCGGAAAGCAAGCTAGCACAGGGGCACCTACGGGAAAGCACTCCAAAAGTCAAAGCAGTGATTTGCACGATTCTGGCATTTTTCTTGCCAAACCTAAGGCTGAGCGATCCCGCACGCTCTGCTGGGAGGACGCGGGGGCCGGCCCGGGGCCGCCCTTTCCGGCTGCCTCCGCGGGAAAACATTTCGGGAGCGGAGCGCGGGACCGCGGCCTCCCTCCGCCACGCCGGTGCCCCGGGCGACACCACCCAGCACCGCCCAGCACCACCCGGCCCCGGCCGCTCCCACCGCCCCGGGCCGTGCGGCCGCGGCTCCAGCCGCCACTCCCCGGGCACGGCAGCGCCCGCGGCCGCCGCGGGCTGAGGGGACGCGCGGGACACGGCTCCAGAGGGCCCCGTCGGCCCCTCACGGCTCACCGCCCGCCCTGCCCGCCGCGATCCGCCCGCACCCCCACTCACCGCCCGGCCGGCGCCCCGGCAGCGCCCGCACGGCAGCCCGCGATGGGCAGCGAGAGCAGGCCCGGCCCGCCTTCCCCCGCCCAGCCCCGCCCCGCCCCCGGGCCGGCCGCGAACGGGAGAGGGGGGCGGTCGGGCCGCTCAGAAAGGTCCCTGCGGCAGAACAGAAACGTCTCAGTGACCTGAATTAATCTAATGAGACTCTACTTGGCTTAAATATTAGTTTAGGGCAGGTGCGGTATTTGCATAATGGTTCATTTAGCGCGGTGTTAATCAGCGTGTCTGAAGTGCCCCGCTAATGAGACAACTGCGCGAAGAGTTAGTTGGGGAGGGAGAGGGAGGGCAGCAGGTGTGACATTAATCAGAGCAGGAGCGCGGCCTGCATCAAAGCCTACCGGAGCGAGCGGAGGGAGCCTTTGGTTCGCCTTACTCTAATTTATTGTGAGCTTGTGACTGCAGTTAACAAATTACGTGAGTGCATGCAGTAAACCCGGCAAGCTACACTGAGAAGAGTGCTCAATGAAATTTCAACTGCTCTGTGTAATTTTCGTGGTGCTGTCCTGCAGAGTTGTACATAATGCTTCTTCCTGAAACCCTCCGTGGATATACTCTTCCCTACTGTAAGATTAAATTCTGTATTATGAACCCTTGCTGAAGGTCTTCTGTGTGAAAATCTCTTAGGGGAGTTGCATGTTTTTGTATGTAATGTGCATAGTATCTAAGTATAGACTCTGAAAATGGTATTTGGCTTCTAGAAGTATTTAAGAAAGTTGGACAGCTCCTGACTCTGCTGGCACTCCACTCCCTCTTCATAGTTCCTGTCTACATAGTGCTGAGAATTAAAGATGCCTGGCATTTTTTAAGAAAAAGTTTAAGATCTTGCAGAGACAAATTTAATGTAATTTGCTGTCTATGAGTCTGTACTGTGCATTCTAAGTTTGCAAAAAGCCTTTCTATTAAGAGCACATAAAACATAGAAGTAGGATAAACTTTATTTTAACTTTAAAATTGAATGGACTTGGTCTATTTTCAGCTACTAGAACAAAGTAGATAGAGTTCTGACAGATGTGACTAATCTTCAATAGTTTAATTATAGCATAATTTATTCAGCAGATGCCTATTTTATTTTTCCTATAACAGTTACACAAAGTAAAAAAATACTAGGTTAGCTTTATTTTTTAAAGCAAATCGCTTCCTTATTTTAGCTTTTTTAAGCATGTGAGGAAGATAGCAAAGGTTATTTAAGCAGAGAAGATGTTGAAGTTGCTCTATAGTAAGGTTTTTTTGTTAGAAACCCTCAAAGGTATATCCTTTTTCATCTGTTCTGAAGATCTATCTTATAGATGTCTCACAGAAAACCTACAGATTCTAAAATAATTTTCTTATCTGCAGGTATTTATTTCAGAAGAAAATAATCACACCCCTACTTTTCCTGCTGCTGAATTATGAATCTGAAAATACTCAGCTTCCAATTATCTGTTTTCACCTACTTATTTTTACCTTCATCTAAAAATTAACTGTTCTGTCAAATTCCCTGTATGTTTCTTCTAGCAGGAGTACTCAAAACATGCTTAAGGCATTTAAACAGGAGCAGGTTCTGTGCATAAGTCACTGATGGCAGCTCCTTGGAAAGGGAATAGAGGTAGAGGACTCGTGGGGAAAAGAGGAGTTGCAGGTTTAGCTGTTTCTTCCTGAAAATGTGCCAAGTCACACCTGCTGTGGCTCTAGGCACTGCTGTGACCACCTGGCTGTTAGACCATTTTGTCTGTGCAGCTGCACAAAAATTAATTAAACGTTTATCCTAGGAGTGATTCTGTCATCTAGTGGTTTTGCTGGCTTCTTAAGTGGGCCCAATTCCAG